TTTTTTTTTTTTGTATTTTGGGAAAAAAAATATTGAATAGTAAAAATGGGAATTTTTCCGTAACAAGAGTGGCCATCTTAATTTTTACTATTGGAAATGATATAAAGTTGGGCTATGTTCTGGAATTTGTTAGAAATCGTTTAAAATTTGCATGAAGTATTTCCCCATTTCATTTGCAGTGGAGGCCCAATGACACCTATTTCCTGAACCAGAAATTATAAGTGGTGGCTTAAGTGGCACATAACTAGTGTGGTTGTGGTTACCAGGTGGAGGTGGTGGTGGGAGAAGAAGACAGAGAAATGTTTTCTTTTTTAATTTTTAATTTAAATTATTTATTTATGACTTGTTTGTACTTTTTTGAAAATTTTGAGACTACGGTTAAAATTAGTTCTTTATTTTTTTTCTTTTTGTTTTATTTAAATATAGGGGTATACTCATCATTTCATAAGACTTTATTGAGATCATGAAAAGAAAGAGGGTCTTATGTACCTCAAATGTTATACAAGAGGATTTTTTGTTAAAATTAAAGAACAAAGGTATTCACAATAGAGGCAAGGTCATGCGAGTTTTGCTTCAATAAACCTATTCCTTAAAGTAGTGTTTGGCAAGAATGACAAAATGAAATAGTTCAGTGAAGCTTAAAGCAGTGTTTGGCAAGAACATCAAAATGAAATAGAAATGGGCCACGTGTGCATATGTGCAACCGTATCATGATTTTCTTTATTGTATTTAAGAAGGGAGCATAGCCTCGACAACTGTACAACCATTTCTTTTGCTCTACGTTAGGATATACTATACAATAGAAGATGCATTTCAATTATTTTCTGCACTAGAAACGCTGGAAGGGTACTAAGTACCAGTAACTGGAATTTTTGCTTATAATGGTATGTTGAGATCATGTCAATCATATTCAGATTCATTAAACAGAATCATAATACAATCTTTACTATAGCACGCATGGGTATGATAACGAAAACCATACGTGAAACTGCATAGATTGACATCACGTAAATGAGTATTGTTATTTGTGATGTTCGCACGATAAGATACATTTTATTTTTAAAATCAAACATGGCAAGTAACGGTATAAATATGTCCCACATAGATGGATTATGGAAAAATTAATTCTATGCAACAAGAATTCACTAATTGAAAGGTAAGAAACAAGAACATGACATGATCTATCATTTACTGAACGTTAAAAAACGTAGATTAAAGATTTACAAGATGAAAATTTACTAAGCCTACTCCATTTCATGAGAAACGAGTTATTAAAATCAGCTTTGAGGCCCTCTATGAAGCCTAAAAAAGCCAGTGGTGAACATTAAGTGGTTATACATGGTGAATACCACGAAGCCTATAGAAAACACCTTAAAGCCTCAATCTATCAATTTATTCATTTAAAAAAAATAAAAATTAGGAGCATCATGATGCAGCTAAACATATTTCAACTAAGCCTAAAAGAAGTTCAAGACGAACATCAGATAAATTGTATATGATTGAAACAAACGTATAAAAATCATTGATAAAGAATTCATGTACGGTACGGATTGTGTGGAAACAATACTGGTATGATATCTTACTGCTATAAAACTTAAACATTTTTTTTACATACTATACGAAAACAATTATAACGAACAGACAAAACATTGATTCTTATCAACTTGTGACAAGTTGAAAATGCATACACTATATTGTAAAAATTTTGAAAAATGCCTCAAATTAGAAATGTCCACGTAAAAAGTTCATTTTTGTTGATTTAACTAATTATCGAGCCTATGAATCTGGGATTTATAGCGTGAATGGTGGGTTAATGTTAAGTATTTTTGGAATAAAAAATATTGAATAGTAAAAACGGGAATTTTTACACAACGAGTGGCCATCATGATTTCCACTATTGGAAATGATATAAAGTTGGGCTTTGTTCTGGAATTTGTTAGAAATCGTTCAAAATTTTCCTGAAGCCTTTCCCCATGTCATAGGCAATGGGAGGCCCAAACCAATCCTCTTAAGATGCCCATTTCCTGAACCAGAAATTATAATTGGTGGCTTAAGTGGCACATAACCAGTGTGGTGGTGGTGATGGTGGTGAAATGATGGGAGAGAAATAAATTTTTTTTTTAAATTCTTAATTTAAATTATATATTAATGACTCGTTTTTACGATTATTAAAATTTTTAGACTATAGTTAAAATTAGTTCTTTATTTTTCTCCTTTGTGTTTTATTTAAATATAGGGGTATCTTCGTCATTTCACAAGACTTTATTGAGAAAATGAAAGGAAAGAGAGTCTTATGCACCTCAAATGTCATATACGAGAATTTTCCATCGAAAGGAAATAATAATATGGGTATTCACAATAGACACAAAAGTCGTGGAGTTTTGCATCAAAGAACCTATTCCTTATAATGACTTGGATTTGCTGGTGACATGTTCTTATATTTGTTGTTGGGTTAATTATATGAATGATCACTAAACTTTGCCCTATGTTACTATTTAGTCACTGAATTTAAAAATGTAATTCAATGGTCACTGAATTTCATCAAGTTTTACTATTTCATAACTGAACTTTAAAATGTATCTCAATAGTCACCGAATTTTGCACCGTGTCACCTATCCGTCACTCAAATGGAAAAATTCGTTAAGTCCAACAAACGGCGTCAACTTGAGTGACGGATGGGTAACACGGTGCAAAGTTCGGTGACCTTTGAGATACATTTTAAAGTTCGATTATGGAGTAGTAACACTTGAAAAAGTTCAGTAACCATTGAGTTACTTTTTTAAGTTCAGTAACTAAGTAATAACATAAGATAAAGTTCAGTGACCATTAAGATATAGTTTTAAATTGAATTATTAAGCCTTTGTTTGAGTCCCATTCTTTCCCAAAAAAAAAAAAGAAAAAGAATACATTCTTAAATAGTGATTTGACATCATTTAACCACACATTCTTCAATAAATAATACTATACGTAAATTCAAAATTTTTTCTTATTTTTTAACTACACATTTTTCATCAATATACTATTCAAAAATTCATTTTATCCCTCAAAATGGGGATCAAACAAGGGCTAAGGTCCTCAAATTGACCTCTATGATAGAAGAAATCAAAGAAAATGAAGGGAAAAAGGAGGAAACAGAAAATTAGAGACCTATAAATTAAATAAAAATAAAATTGTTGCTAATATTCATCCATCACGATGAAAAAGTATGTTTTATTTTTAGATCAACTGGTATCAGTTCATCGTATCTCAAATTCCGCATAAATAGATTGAAAGAGAAACAGTTGGAACAATAAAAGGAATTGACAAATAAAAAATTAAATAAAAGTACAAAAACGTTCGAATAGTGCCAATGTAACTAAGGTCGATTTGATTTTTCAACTATGTTACTACTTAGTCACTGAACTTAAAAACGTAATTCAATGGTGACTGAATTTCGCCAAGTATTACTACATCATAATCGAATTTTAAAATGTATCTCAATGGTCACCGAACTTTGTACCGTGCTATCCATCCGTCACTCAAGTTGACATCGTTTGTTGGATTTAACGGATTTTTCCATTTGAGTGACGTATGGATAACACAGTGCAAAGTTCGGTGACCATTGAAATACATTTTAAATTTTGATTATGAAGTAATAACACTTGGCGAAGTTCAGTGACCATTGAGTTACGTTTTTAAGTTTAGTGAATAAGTAATAACATAGGACAAAGTTCAATGACCATTCATATAATTAACCCATTTGTTGCTCGACTGATCTGTTTTGCATTATTAATAATTGTCCCAATTTTCTTCTAAATCGTTATGCTTATTAGAGTTGACGCCATATTTGTAGTAAATACCCAATTTTCTTGTAGGTTTCCTATCACAGCAAAAAGACAGAGAAGAATAAAAATTTGCCTTTCCCATTGGAGTCTTTGGGTGTGGGGCCAAAATGGCCTTGCTCGTGTTTCACATGATTGGATTATTTTAATCGTAACTACTTTTGATGTAATGTAATTATGAGAATGCACATTTTTTTCCACACAAGAATCTGAATTATTCTGAGACACTTTTTCCTCCATAGACCAAAGAGGTCATTGCCAACTTTAATAATGGCAAGACTTGATGTGAAGACCCATATATTTAGCCCTGATCGACAATTATTATTTAAAAATTCTTTTTTATACTTATTTATTTTCAATCACGAATTCAACAATAAAATATATTGCACATAAATTTTAAAATTTTTCTCAACTTTTTAACAACAAATTCTCTTAAAAATCACTATTCAAAAATCGATTTTTTGGAAATAATGGCCAAAAAACATGGGCTTAAAGATACATCATCAAGGTGGGTCCGTCCACAATTTAGTAGCTTAGAATTTTAAATAAGGTAGTCTAATAGTGTATTAGAGCGTATAAATGTATTAATTTTTAAGTTTAGTATAAATGAGAAAAATTTATGTGCACATTTGAATGAAAAATGATTTGTACTCGCATGATGAGGAGACATCCAATAGGCAATAAAATTATATTATATAATTTTTTTACTCTTTAGTGATTAAATTCCTAGATAAAATGATTTAAAAAAAAATTTATTTGTTTTTGACCAAAAAAAAAAAAGGCTCAACAAGTCTATGGCCGTTTGGATATCATTATAAACCTCAGCAGTGAGGCTGTTGCTTTTTATGCATAGATTAGCAAAATTATTTACTGATGCCAGGACTACCTTTGTTCTTACCAACTAGGAATATTCACCATTTTTACATCTCCCAAAACTAGGTAGGATCTGATCCTTTGTTCTTACCAATCATTGGGCTTAATCTCCATTTTGGTTGTCCTAGCTCCACTGGCCAAATTGTAACCTGCAACCTAGATATTTGTTGTGTTGAGTTCTTATGAACTGTGGGACGTTTATTTCGGGATTTGGTGGGTGTCTCCTAATTATAGGGCCGGTTGGATTTTCTTGTTGCGTGATAGGGTTTTGCCAATTAGAGGCATAAGATTCATCTTGTACAGAAATCGTGATTCAAATAAAAATGACTGCTGAAGGTGGCAGTAACTCAGCATGTTTTTCAATAAAGTATGTTCTTGTTAACACTTGGCTTCTTAATCTATCGTAACTGCGAGAACGATGGTTATTTTTCAAATTTTTGTTAACATTATATATTTTTTATCTAATGTGTTATGCATACGAGGGTTATATAAATTTTTTAATCTTGCCAGCTCAAACTTGGTTGTACAACTAACATTTGGCAAGATTTTGGCTAGTGATGATTTTATCATTGATTTTAAAATGATGGTAAAACCATCAATGGCCAAGAGGATTCAACCAAGTTTGACAACTTGGGTCGTACAACTAGCATTATACTTGTTACTTTTAAAGGAATGACTTAGTTATGCAGACTATATTCAATTTTATTTGAACGTTTTGGTTAGTTTTTTCCTTAAAAAAAAAATTAGAAATAAGTTTTTACTCACCATTTTTCCTTACAATTGATATGATAATATTAAGAGCAAAGTATTAGAGAGAGGCTTTTAACAAAGGGCAGTAAACAGGGCTATAAACAGGGATTCACCTTAGCCCTTGACTTGAATTTAATCAACGGTTGAGGATAATCCGTTTCATGTCTAGAGTCCCTTGTTGACTAGCGTTTCTGAAAGTATTAACTAAGGTAAAATAGTGTCCTATATAAATATATTATTGCACTTACAACGGCTAATTCTCTATTGTTAATTAATGTAAAAATGATTATAAAACAAATATTTGCCCCATAGTAATTGAGAAAGTAATGTTACCATTAGATTTTGAAATCAATTATATGATATATTTTTAAGACACGCAAAAACTATTGCAAGACATTAGCAAATACTTTTCACGGCTGCCAATTACCACCGTAAAAACCTTTACCTTGAAGCGTTTGCCCATGGCTAAAAAATTGTGGAGAAGACGTTGTATATACCTTTTGCGGCGGTATTGGGTACTTTTATGGCCAAAAAAAACTCCCATCATAAATACCAAGTTTTCTTATAGTTGTCCTATCTCAACATAAAAATAAAATAAAAAATAAGAGAGAGAGAGAGGCATTTCCAATTAGAGTCTTTGTGCGTGGGGCCCAAATGGTCTTGTATGCTCACGAGTGAACTATTTTAATAGTAACTCCTACAAATGTTGCACAATCGCTAGTAAAACAAAAGAATGCTCAATCAAATCGTCTTTTCCAAGAAATTTCAGAAATTTGAATGTTCAAAGATGTTACTTTTCAAAATTGAGAGATCAAATCAAGGATAAATGGCAGATATTGACCTCGAATAGTATGTTGTCCTCAACCATAGACCAACGATGTCATTATCTGCTTCAAAAATGATGTTCACGCTTGCACAGTGAGCCTTATCAATTTAATCGCATGGACTTGATGTGAAGACCTTGTACAAGTCAATGTATTTTGTAAAATCATTCTATATATGTATTATTTAGTGATATATCAACAAAGTGGGTGGTCCACTGTTCACTAGCCCAAATTATTAAGCCCTTGTTTGAACTCCATTATTTTCAAGATGCACCTTTATCTTTTTTTTTTTTTTCTTATGTTTGCCGTAAGTAAATTTCGACCACTCAAACATTTCACCATCGCTGCTCCGTTGCAACTAGTGCCTCAAATTACCAGTTTATCACCCCTTTACACAAAAGTGTCCATCAATTTTACGTTGATCTGAAAACGAAGTAGTTTGAATATTTTCCTCCTTTCCTTCTTCGAATGAAATCGAGGTCATCGATGGCCTTCACTAAAATACAATTCTGATTTGGGAGGATGGAGTGGGATGCATTGGGTGGCATGGTGGCTCTGATTTGGGTGAGGGGATGGGGTGGGGACGGGGCAGGTCAGCGTGGGATTTTTGTTTTGTTTTAATTAATTATTTTACTTGTTCTCTTTTATTCTTTTAAATTGGTCAAAATTAGTCAAAGTTTAATTTATTGGTCAACTAATTGTTAAATGAACGGTTTTCATCCATTTGAACTCCAGATATATATTTTTGAAAGATTTGGAACATTGGGTGGCACAAAATGAAGGTTAAAATAAAATCTACAAAAATGTAAAAGGTTAAGGACCGCTGCTACAAATTTTCTATTATTTTAAGATAACTGCCAACTTTAATAATGATGTTTCAAGCTTTTGTTGACAGAGGTCATTGCCAACTTTAATAAAGAGATGTTTCACGCTTTTGCCACTGTGAACTTTATCAAATTTAATGGCAAGACTTGATGTGAAGACCCTGATATTTAGCATGATTGACAATCATTATTTGAGAACTCCTTCTATACATATTTATTTTCAATTACACATTTATCAATAAAATATTCTGTACGTAAACTCAATTTTTTTTTTTTTTTTAACTCTTTAAAACATTGTTTCTTGGAAATAATGGCCACCAAACAAGGACTTAGTGATATATATATCATCAAGGTGTGTCCTCCACAATTTAGTAGCTTAGATTTTCAAATAAGGTAGTTTAATAGTGTATTAGAACATATAAATGAGAAACTTTTAGATACAAGACATTTGATGAAAGAAGGATTCATACATGCAAAACATTTTTGTATAAGTAGACATTTTTATAATCTACTTTATAAAAATTTTTGAATAGAAAAGGTTTGAACAGGTTTAAGGCTGTTTGGATGTCATTATAAAGCTCAACCGTGAGGCTGTTGCTTGGTAAGCATAGATAAGCAAAACATGCTGGTGCATTTGGTTTTTCTCCAAATCTTCTGCATTTTTTCACTGGCGGTAGCATCGCCCTCGAATGCGACCACCACCTCCACTAAACCTGGCTGCCAAAGTAGATGTGGAAACCTAGAAATTCCATACCCGTTTGGTATCGGGTCAAACTGCTCTTTGGACAAATACTTTAATATCAATTGCAATACTTCTTTCGACCCTTCAAAAGCCTACCTCGTCGATCCTGGTCCTTCTATCGTTAATTACCCTTCCAGCTATGAGGTTGTTAATATCTCAAAAACTAGAATATATCTTAAGAACGTGGAGGCACAACTGTCAGTGGCCTGCAGTGGTATGGGATTCGATAACAAGACAGAGAATTATACTATAGCAATGGAATTTTATCGTAGTCCTTATACCTGGTCAAACGCGAATCAGGTCACGTCCCTTGGTTGTGATGACTTGGCTATGGTACGAACAGATTCATCCAATGAATCTGACGGTGGTGTTGCTTGTGCATCCTACTGTCGAAAATTTTCAGATCCTGTTGTCGGGTCATGTCCGGGCAGGGGCTGTTGCCGGACCTTCATAACCAAAGGTACATATGTTGGAGTTAAACTCTCTGACATGCATAATTACTGGGGCCGACATAGGAGACTTTTCCGGTGCAGCTTTGCCTTCGTAGGAATGATAGGTGATGATGATGATAAATTTAATTTTCGTTTATCTCATCTTGATGATTTAACAACATTCCTAAACAATAATAAAGAGTTTACGAGTACGCCATTAGTGTTGGACTGGGGAATTTCTCGCTACCTGAATTGCACAGTAGCTGCTCAGAATTCCACTAAATATGCATGTAAAAAGAACAGTGATTGCATTAATTTGTACCAAAAATCTGTACCGTATAGTGGAGGATATCGATGTCAGTGCAAGGAAGGATATGAGGGCAATCCTTACCTAGGATGCGAAGGTCAGTTTTTTTTTCTAAAAATTAATATCCGTACTTAATGGAAGTCTTGGCTATTTTATAGACGAGTTTAATACGAAAAATCTAACAATTGTTTGTTGTGATGCTTAAATGGGATGGGGTGCGGCAGATATCAATGAATGCATGAGTAATCATAAATGCATCTCATATGGAACCTGCACCAATATTCCGGGTTCTTATTGGTGTTCCTGTCCTTCCGATTATCACGGTGACGGTAAAAAAAATGGTTTTGGTTGTATTCCAATATCGGTACCCCATGATAAACTCGCAATAGGTAATTTTCAATCTTTTGCATATTAAATAACTGGTGAAATTTATTTTTCTTAATATTTTCTGCATAAATTATTAAATAAATTAGATGTCCTATAATCAAGACAATAAATATTATGCAATTGCTTGTTAATTTTTTCTATTTAAATATAATACAATTGCTTATTTAATTTTTTTTCCTATAATTATTGTTTAAATTAATTTAATCATTTATTATTGTAGATAATGTCATCAATCATATATTAAATATTAAATATTTAAAATAGGTTAGGAAACACAATATACGAAGAACAATATGATGAATAGCAATTCACATTGACAGAAGTTATCTATCCTCAAAATTTAAGCATTAGCATTTTTAATATTATCGAATTGTACTAGTCTCAGTATCCCATAAATAAACAAACAAAAAAGATCAAGATTCCAAATTAGAAAACTATACATGATTGAATCCAAAATAGATGTGATGATCTTGACTTGAATTACGTTGCATATGTTGATACTTTTAGGAGTAGGCTTGAGCGCTGGAATGGGATTGCTAGTGCTGCTATCCACTTGCTTTTGGTTGTTCAAGTTTCAGAAGAAGAGAAAAATTAAAAAACGCAAAGAAAAATTCTTCAAACGAAATGGTGGTCTTCTGCTAGAACAACAAATATCAACGGATGAAGGAATACTTCAAAAAACACGACTTTTCAGTGTTAAAGAGTTAGAGAAAGCCACTGATCACTTCAGTGAAAGTCGAATACTTGGTGAAGGAGGTCAGGGGATGGTGTATAAAGGGATGTTAACTGATGGAAAAATTGTGGCAATAAAAAAATCCAAGGTGGTAGATGAAAATCAAGTGGAGCAATTTATTAATGAGATTGTCATGCTTTCACAAGTCATTCATAGGAATGTGGTTAAACTATTAGGTTGTTGCCTAGAAACTGAAGTTCCTTTACTAGTCTATGAATTCATTTGCAATGGAACCCTTTACGATCATATCCGCGACAAGAGTGATGAGTTTCCATTTTCATGGAACATGCGCTTAAAAATTGCTGTAGAAGTCTCAGAAGCACTTGCCTATCTTCATTCTGCAACTTCTATCCCCATCTATCACAGAGATATTAAGTCAACTAATATTCTACTTGATGAAAAATATGTAGCTAAAGTTTCAGACTTTGGAACTTCTAGATCAATCGCAGTGGATCATACTCATTTAACCACACTAGTAAAAGGAACCTTTGGATACTTAGACCCTGAATACTTTCAATCAAGTCAATTTACAGAAAAAAGCGATGTTTACAGTTTTGGAGTTGTTCTTGTTGAGCTCTTAACTGGACAACGACCAATATCTTTTGCCAAAACGGGAGAGGAAAGAAGTTTAGCAACAAGATTTTTGTTATGTATGGAAGCAGACAATCTCGAAACAATTCTTGACAGCCAAGTTTTAGAGCAAGGTAAGAGAGAAGAACTAATTGCAGTGGCAAAACTTGCACAAAGGTGCTTAAATTTGAATGGGAAGAAAAGGCCATTGATGAAAGAAGTAGCCACAGAGTTGGAGATTATTAAAATATCTCAAACGCATTTGATTGCATCTGATACTAAATATCAAGGCCTACAGTTGCGCAAATCCAAAGCGATATTGGTGTCCGATGATGACTACACATGGACAAGTTCCTCTAACAATATCATCCCATCATCAGATGCACAGCCCCTAATGGTTCATACCACTTGATGCATTCTCTGATTTCTAAACAATTTCCTCATTTGTTGTATAATATATGCTTTTGTAATAGTTTATTTAAACAACTAAATAACATTTGGTCTAGATTTTTGTTATATCAATACACGGATCAGACTTTTTCAGCATGAGATTTTTACCTTCAATTGATTTAGATTAACTTATTCTTTTAGACGTGCGTTTGCTTACTATACTGGGTTTTTCTCCAATGGACTCTCAAACTAGGGTGTATTATGCTATAATTTGTTTGAACACTACAAATGGACCGCATACCATCAACATATTATTTTGTGCTTTCTTCCTAGAGACAACAAAGATTTCTTCAGTATCAATATCTAATTTGGCTTCATTACTTGTGTGTATTCAGAACCTTGAACATGTATTTCATAAAGTTAAACTATTCCTTTGATTTACAAAAAGAAAAGAAAAATGAATGAAAACATTTTTTTCTTCAAAGGACAGAATATTCATTAAACAACCTTTATGTTAATTGGTTCTTTTGCACAGAAAGTAACTTGAAATATGAGAATGCTTAGCCAGTTCGCCTTTCTCATTAAATTTTGGGATTTTGAATTGTTTGAAGACATTATTTTTCAAATTTGAGCGATCAAATCACAGCTAAATGGCAGAAATTGACCTTGAATATGTTGTTCACCAATATACCAACGAGGTCATTGTAAACTTTAAAAATGATGTTAACGGTCGAGATTTATCAAATTTAACCCTTGTTTGAGCTCCATTTAACTAAATATACATTTTTCAAATCTCATTTTCAACCATATATTTCTCTACAAAATAATATTGCACATAAATCCAAAACTTTTTATTTTTTATTTTTTAACCACACATTATTCAACAAAATATACTTTTTTCCCAAAAACATCATTAAAATGGAGCCAAGAAAGGAGCTTAATGGCATAGACTTAATGTGAAGACAGTATTATGTTTTGAATGGTTGACCAGGAAATAGGAGTTAGACGGTGCATGACCCATATTGTACTTATAACTGTTATTTAACGAAAAATATTTGTTTGTAGGACTTGGAAAAACTATTTGGCCTTGAACCCCACTTATATAGAAAATTGAAAATTTATACTCTTGAAAGAATAACACTAATCAATATTGTCTAGTCTACCATATCAAATAAGTAATTTTTAATACAAGAAATTGTTAGTTTGGATTGTGGACAAATTTTCTAAGGACCTTCTCGAGCCCGACTTGGACAGAAAATTAAAAATCAAGCTTTGTGAAGTATAAGAATGAGCTCGGGAAGATTGGCTAGTTCCCAAAGTCTACTTTCTTTGTTTTTGCCGTTGCTAAACGTCAACATGGTGTGTGTGGACTATGGATGTCTCAGGTATGAAAACATTTATCATATCCAATGCTAAAAGTAATAACCATCTTCCACTCCCCCTACCTATCATTATAGACTTGTCATATTTTTTTACATGAATATTAAAGCCACAAAATGTTAGCGGAGCATTCAATTTTTTATTTTATTTTATTTTTAATTTTTTGCATTGCAAAATTATTGTGAAGGAATATGTCGCAACTAGTTTCATAAAAGTTTTATTTTATAAAATTTAGATTATGATTTAATATGGTAAAAGTTATATGAAACATTTATGCTCTAGTTTGTTCTCATTATTTTCAAAATATATTTTTTTTCTCTTATTTTCAAAGACATATTTTTCAGTAAAATAATATTTCATGCAAATTCAATTTTATTTTAAGGTATTACAGGTAGATCAACAAAACAACAAAAATTGTTTGGTTTTTATTTCCATTTGCGACTCTTTGGTTTGAGGCACCTTTTTTCATTTTTTCAAAATAATGATTCTTAAAAATCTATAGTATATTAAATATCATATCAAATGAGAATCATTTTTTAATGATTCTAGCCCTCCTATAATTCAATTATTTCAATAATATATTAATTTTTTCATTATGTATTTAAATTTTTTAACAATTTAGTTACCATCGATGTACAAGTACATTTGACAAGTTCATGCCACTTGTGTGCTTTTGTTACTGTTGAATTCTCTATTATTAATTCTCAATTAGTTAATATTCACATTCATCTAATTAATATTTAGCTTCATTTATGCATTTCAGTATTATTAATTCTAATTACAGTTAATTAGAATTTCACATTCAAGAATGCAATTTATTATTCATGTCCATGTATGCTAATTAATATCCAGTTTTACTTAATTGAAAATTAAATAAATTATTTAACATTTATAGTCATGTATATATTCCATGGTATAAATTTAAATTAATTAACATTCACGTATATTCAAATATTACTTTTACAACACTCATAAAGTATTTTATAATTGCACATTCAATATTGACTAGTATTTAATAAATATGAAAGAGATGAGTAACTAAATGATAATCATTTTAATAACCACAGATTATCAAAACATGTAATTTGTTAACATTACTTAAGAATTTTTTTATGAATTGTCAAAGAATTCAATATTTGGTAACAAAGTTATCTAATACATTGATATATATGTTTACTGGCCTGTATGTTTAGTATATAGTTTTGCTAGGATCGAACAAGATTTACGTTTCGGTGGGATATGTAGTTTATACCTTTTCTTGGTCTCTTTTCTTAATTATTTAGAGCTAATTGAGTTTATATCTATCTAATCCAGATGTAAATATATTAATTGTGTGTAAATTTTGACTTAAATGCGTTTGGATGAAATTGACATGAAAAGGGACATATTTTGGGGCTAAATTAAATTTATTTAGAGCAATTGATGATCAACGTGATTATAAATCTCAATTGTGAGGCTGTTGTTTTTAGTATGCATAGATTATCCTGGTTCTTTTTCTTTTTTGGAATAACATGCTGGTGCATTCAGTTTTCCTCCAAATCTCCTGCTTTCTTTCACTAGTGGTAGCACTACCGCCAAATGCAACTGGAGTCACCACCACCATCATCACTTAACCTAGCTGCCAAAGCAAATGTGGAAACCTAGAAATTCCAAACCCGTTTGGTATCGGGTCAAAATATTCCGGGAACATACACTTCAATATAAAATGCAATACTTCTTTCAACCCTCCAAAGCCTACCTCCTGGTTCGCTATGGAAATATTCCCGTGGGGTGGTTAATATCTTACAAACCCAAATCTATCTTAAGAACTCGGAGGCACAACTGGTAATTGCCTACTACGGTATGGGATTCGATAACAAGATATAGAATTCTACTTTATCAATGGAACTTTTTGATGGTCCTCATACCTTGTCAGACGCAATTCAGATGCGGTAACCTAGATATGGCATCATAACTTTCATACCTAACAAATACCTTTGACGATGGTGCTTGTGCGTCATACTATGGTGGCCTTCCTGATTATATTCATATTGGGTCATGTTTAACAAGGGGCTATTGCCGGGACCTCCTTATCTAGAGGTGAGTATCTTCGATTTGTATTGTTAGATATGCATAGTTATTGGGGTAGAGATAGCAAAATTTTTCGTTACAGCTTTGCCATCATTGGAATGACAGGTAATTATGATAAATTTGATTTTAGTTTATGTCATCTCAACGATTCAACAACATTCCTACGTAGTAATAAAGAGTTTTTTGGTATGCCATTAGTGTTGGACTGGAGAATTGACGGCTATAATTGCATCATGGAGCAGAACTCCACTAATTATGCATGTGGAAAAGAATAGTTATTGCATTAGTTACAATACCAATCTTAGTTTCAGAAGATACCGTCGTAAGTGCAAGGAAGGATGCGAAGGCAACCCTTACATAGAATGATGTGGTTAGAATTGTTTAAAAACCACTATCTATACTTAATTAAAGTCATTATTTTTACTAATCAGTTCAATATAAAAATCTAATGATTTCCATAGACGAAGATGTCATAATCTATACTCACAATTTTAGTAGTAGTATTCTTAATATTGTATTGTTATCTTAAAATCAAATTAGTAAACAAACAAAAAGATCAATATTCCTGCTTTAGAAAACTATACATAACTGTGCCTTGATACTTTCAGTAGTAGGGTTGGTCACTGGAATCAAATTACTACTACTGTTGTCGACTTGTTTTCGATTTTTCAAGTTTCAGAAGAAGAGAAAAATAAAAAAGAACAAAGATAAATTCTACAAACAAAATGGTGGTTTCTTGCTACGACAACAAACATCAACAAATGAAGATATACTCGAACAAACACGAATTTTTACTATTAAAGTGCTAGAAACAGTAACTAATAACTTCAACGTAAGTCAAATACTTGGTCAAGGAGATCAAGGGACAGTCTATAAAAGAATGTTAACAGAAGAAAAAATCATAGCAATAAAAAAATCCAAGTTAGTAGATGCAAATAAAGTGAAGCGCTTCATTAATGAGGTTGTCATGATTTCACAAGTTATTCATAAGAATGTAGTTAAGCTATTGGGTTGTTGTCTGGAAAAAGAAGATCCTTTAATAATTTGTGAATTCATTTGCAATGGATCATGTTTGTAATGATCAGTTCCATTGTCATGGAACATAAGCTTGAAAATTGCAACAGAAGTGGCAGAAGCACTTGCTTATCTTCATTCTACAGCTTCTTTTCCGATTTATCGCAAAGACATGAAGTAAAGTGGCGATCATTGTCCCAATTCATAAATTGATTTCTCCAAGACCAACGCAACTACTACTCCTAAAACCCTAAGATTTTGGGTCACATTACAACAATCTCGACCTTCAATCAAATTCTAATCACAAGGAATTCCAATTACTAATCTCCAAGTAAACACCACTCCACCTCTTCCAAGCCCCAATGGACTAAATCAATGACAAACACCTACTAAGTTCAAGCAGTGCTCAAACTTAGCAATGAAAAGTGGTTTTGTCATCATGTTAGTAGGATTCTCCTTAGTATCAACATTGCTCACTAAAATGTCACCACGAGCAATTATTTCACGCACAAAATGCTACCACACATTAATGTGCTTAGTCCTCTCGTGGAACATTTGGTCCTTATGTTAGAAATATAGCACTCTGGCTATCACAATACACTGTAGATATAAGCAAGTATTCACTGATTTCACCAATTAATCCCCTTAACCACATAGCCTCCTTGCAAGCTTCAGTAGTGGCCAAGTACTCT